TGTGTGTGTGTGTGTGTGTGTGTGTGTGTGTTGTTTTGAGGAGGATTGTAAAATGTAGATAAGAAGACCTGCGTTGTGTATGTGCTTCGTTGAAGAATGAAGCTTTCTGGTGAATTGCTCTGTAGACAGCCTTGCAGGTGGCCAGGATCTGGTGAGTATAAGACAGGGTTCTCATAGTGATAATCATCCTTCATGGACAAACAGGTATAGTAGAATTTCACCTCAGATGACTAAATTAATGATCAATTTTAGCACAACACTTTTCATTAGTACAGACTTTCTTGAATTTGATTAATCCCATTATCACCACCCTGAGGAAACAGGGTAAGAGGTAGTCCTTAGTCTGGAATCTTTGTAGTGACATTTTCCTGAAAGTTCAGTTAGTCTCAATTGTATCAGTTAAAAGTCTTGATCAGGAGACTGATAGCAATTCACAGACTAAGTGCATGAAATACAATCACCCCTTTCCTTGTTTATGGGCACTTTGTGATTTACTCAAAGGACATGTGAAATTGTAGATAGCATAGAAAAATAAATTTAGAGTCAGAAACAAAAAAACCCAACCATGAGTTTCCAACACACTAATATTTTCTTTAGCTCATGTCCCTAGAAAAAGCAAAGGCCCCACAAAGTCTGAAGAGTGGATGGGCTAAACACAGATTTATACAAGACCAGCCCATATGACTTGAATTTTCCATAAGTAAAATCAAGTGTAGTTCTTTCTCTTGGCTATGATGTGAGACTGTGAGATACCACATGGAAACAGAGCCTCTGAAAGACAGTGTGCCTGCTGAATTCAAGACCATTTATCTTAATTCTGGAGGGGTGGCTCAGCCATTAAATATCTTCACTAATTCAAAATTTCCATATTCACACAGCAAAGGAACTCCTTTTCATTTTTATTTCCCCTGAAAGTTAACTTTTTCTAACAGGAAAACACACAAGTGTTGGTAGCAGAATTTTCAAACCACATAGGAATGTCTGTATTCAGCAATGGTGGTTGGGCAGGTTCCTGACAAGAAGATGAAAACACACTAAATAAAATAAACCTACCTAATTCCCGGTAGCTGGAGGGGACACAGACTCAAGAGGAGAACCTTCTACTGCCATTTTCCTAAATCAATATACTTCCTAAGTGTGCTCTAAATAATGGTCCTTATACCTGTAGATAAGTAGAGTTCTTATCTCTCAGCAAAGAGGCTTGTTTTTGGAGCAGATGGAGGCAATTACAGAGATCCACAGCTAGTCAAAATAGAGAGAATAAGTGACCCGAACAGATACATGCACAGAAGAAGGGTGACAGGGTTGAAGAAGAAGAGGAACAGGATGCTTGCTATAAGATAGTGTTTTCTAGACACGAGAAGGAGGCTGCAACTACGGAGAGTCAAGAATACGGTTGTCTAAAAAAGACCTATATAATGACAATACCCATTGATGTGCCAATATGGTTAGTAGAAATCTCACAAAACCCCACCTATATGAAGAATTATAGACTGAGAGATGAAGAATCAGTTTTCTCTATAGATGAGTCCTCTAACAGGTTATCCAATATCAAGTGGTCAGTCTTTAAACATATCTACATAAGCATATCTATATAGCTAAGGAACTTTGACATGCATGTGAGCCAATAATGTGAGCAAAGTATATAAGTATACATGGGAACACTAAATGAACAAGACAGACAGACAGACAGACAGACAAAGAAAGAGAGAGAGCAACAATAATTAAAGAATGTGTCATTAATTTGAGAGGGAGTCAGTGAGACAGGGGACATGGGGAGTTAGAGTAGAGAGAAGGAGGGGTGGAAATGATGTAAATAGAGTACTTATGCATAAAATGATAAAAAAATAACTTAAAATTCTGTTTCAAGACACCAGAGGGCAACAAGGTCTAAGAAGGAAGCAATGCCAGCAATGTAGCCTGCCCTCAGATGCCTTTGTTCTTCCTCTGAGGGCATTTCCTGGTGTTGAAGAAACAGCCGACAGGCTGCGAACCTGCACAGAGCTGAGGGACAGAAGTCAGCATGCAAGGGGTGTCAAAGAAGAGAGGTCCTGCTAAAATCACCTGGCGGGAAGTGTAGACTTTTAAAGAACCAACGGATCTCTGGCATAAAACAGAAGGGCCTTCAGGAGACTACCATTGATTCTGCCCAGTGCCTGTTCAAATTCAACTGTTTTGTTTTTATGTTAAAACTAAAGAAAACCTGCTCTCTTGGAATAGTCAACATTCAAAGCTTTATGTTCTAAAAATCTATATATACTGCTTGGCATTGGTGAGCAAAACCTTATAAAAGATATGCCAGGGCAAAGGGATTTACAAGGAATTCAGATATTGAGTTTTAAGACAAAAATTGGGAAGAAAATGTTTAATTAGAAGCCTGGGGATTCTGCTGGGTTGATGGTGAAATAAAATACAATCATTTCTGAGACACAAAAATGGAAAACTTATTGGAAAGCACCACAGGAAGTTAATGAGACAGACGTTAGGGTTTTAAGAGTTAATATTGAGAAGAACTGAAATCTGGGAGCTTTCTTTTTCCCATTATGTCAGAATTATGTCAATTCAACAGGAAATGAAGATCCCACCTGAATTTGACTGTTTAATTTTTCATAAGCATCACAGAACAAATCTTTTACTAATAAAACACAACCACCTTGACTCTAATGGACTAATGCAAGTATCCTTCCATCAATTTGCTCTGACTTCATTCGAAAGTTAGTATTAGAGCCATCACTAAATCAGGAATGAATTCTCATCATCACAATTCAATACATTAGAACTTGACCTAAGTGCACAAAAACAAACAATATGAGGATTGTTTTTAAACTCTCAAGAAAAAAGCCAGTAGATTGGCTAATAGTTTCAAATTGATTTCAACTTAACAAAATTTAAGAATAGCTGTGAGTCAAAGAGCATAATGGAGAAGGCTCGTTATGTCAGCCGTGCCAATAATGTGAACAGTATATGCAAGGTAAAAGCTATGTTTTAAAGCCACTGAGAGCTTGCACGGTGGTGAGTACTTTATGGGCTCTCTGTTGGTGTTCTATGAAACAGGAATACTTCATTTATTTCTACAAATGAGATTTATCAACAGCATTTTCATTCTTAATTTTTTCCTAGAGCTAAATTAAATATCATTCCAAATTCTCTCACAAAGGCTTTGTGCAAAGGGAAGAAGAGACTCTTGATTACAATTAACTCACATGAAGAGAGGCGGTAGGCAAACCATAAGTACTGCTGCTAAGAGGTAGCTTCCATGTGGGGGTCTTTTTTTATAATTAAAAAACACGAGATTTCTATCTAATAGACCATAATTAGTAGAGAAATATGCAGGATTTCCTTGGAGAGTTCTCCTGGCTCCACAATCAGTAGGATCTTACTATAAATATAATACTGTACCTAGACAAAGACCATATCATAAAAATATTCAGTTAAAGTAATGCTATTAAAGGAGCCATTATAAATAAATACTGGTAATACCCCAGAGAAATCTTGTCTAAGCATATGGGAAGAAGATGACTTTAGAAGAAGGTGCATACTTATAGTGGGCGTGGTGTGCCTAAGATTTCTTAGCAGCAAACAACAGCTTCAAACTCGTTCCAAAGCTCAGGGAGGTTAAGTACATCCCTCACTACACATTACTTTACTTTGGGTGGTAAAGCCAGGATTCAGAACTGTGAGACTGTCAACAAACTGCCATGAGGAGGTTATTCATGCATGCCCACATCCTTACTTATTATTAAAATAGTCAAGATGTCACAGATTTAAAGTCTACTTGTTTGTATTGGTTTATCTGCACTGTTACAAAGTGATCAACTGTAAGTCTTATAATGCAATAGACACTTATTTTTCACATTTATAGAGGTTAGGGGATGCATGATCAGGACACCAGCAGGTTGTTTCTGAGGGTGACTTTATTAAAGATACAGCCCTTTCACTGTTTCCATCACCTGAAAGAAGGAATGAACACTTACTGTGGGCTTATTTCATAAGACCACTAATTCTACCCATAGCAGCTCCCTGCAAACCTGTCTCCTCACAGAGGTGTTACCTCTGCACCACTATTTGGGGAATTATGGTTTTAATATGTGAATCTAGGAGCAAAACATATATTCAAGTCCATTGTGGAAGTCAGGCATTAGTGTTCCTCTTTCAAAAACCAAAGCCAGTCCCCTTTCTTCTCAGAGTCCCTTCACTATTGCAGGTGCTCGTTCATTCAGCAAAGATGTAGGGAGCTTTTGACAGGAGCTGGAAACTCAGTCTTCTGGCTTCCCTAAAGCCTTACATCAGCTTCTCACCATTTCTACTCCATGCCTACTTCATACCGCCATTTTCACTTTCATTCTTTGTGGAGTACCCTGATGAACACAGCAGAGGTTCCTGCAGAGCCTCCCCATAACTCTCCTGAGTAGGCATGGAGGAGGGACAACTATGAAATAAAAGAGCTGGTTTGACCCATAAGTGCTCTTCCAGATTTGGGGTATCTGGAATCTCCCATTCTCAAACATTTTCTTTGACTGATGAGCTATGAGCAAACCTTTAAAATTGGCAACCATGGCCCAAAGCATTACTATGCTTTACTCTACAAAATGGAACTTTTGACATAGACTCCTATACTGAAAAGAATAGGAGAATGATAATCATTTGAAGAATACACACTTTTATGAGTGTTGCGATCATAACAGAGAACATAATTTTAAGTATTTTATTATAAAAATTATTATTTATTTAAAATATAATGTAATTTCAGAAAATTCTACTTTTTATACATAAATGTTTCAGAAGGTAAAGAGATATTACAGTGCTTTTCTTTTCAATTACTTATTTGTATATCTTACCAAATACTATCTCTCTCCAACATTCTTTGCAAGATTTATTTTAGGAAAATATGACAATTCATATGATCCTTTTGCTATGAACACTTTTAGGGGATTTTCCTTTCCAATATTTTTGGTAACACAGAGCCAACCCTTCTATTTCACCATGTAGGCCTAACTCACCTGTCAAACAGTTCTCCTCCAGTGACAAGCTCCAGGACCAGACTGATCTCTATGGGGGTTTCAAATATTTCCTTCAGTTTTATCTGAGGAAAAGATGGACATTAAGTAATAACATCAACAGCTGCTCATTTCCACCTTCCTTCAAAGTATCTAAAATTAGGGACAGAGCAATAGCTTGCATTCCCAGTGTGCTGGGTCAGGTCAGTGAAAGTCCCCCATTCTGGCATCAGGCAGACTCTCATTAGGCCCCTCTCTTTCCCAGTTGGTGGCTTTTTCAGTTGCCTCAGTTTTTTTCAAAAGTCCCATTACATTTTGACATTTTTTTTCATTTTGAAATAACACCTTTAAAACAACTTCCAAAATTTACTCAAGGGTTGCAATATTAGTGTTTTTTTATTTTCTAGAATCAAAATCAAGACCCAACTTCACAGAATAGTTTAAGAGCATCAGAAGATGGTAGAAGGCCACAATGCTCTCTCTTGGAAACCAGGGATTTGCACTTAGGGTGCGAGGCAGGACAGGATGGGTAAGGTCTGTGTGTTAAAGCGCTCCTCAGCAGTTAAAGAGCCACCTGTCTGTGAACAGTCCTTGGAAAGAGTGGTGGTAGAGATTTCATT